TGTTATAAGTGCTGTAAACCCAAAACTACTCCATGTTCCTTTTATTCTCTACAGAGAGGACGCACTCATTCAGGGAACAGTAAACAAATGATTACTGTTATCCACAAGAAATAGAAGCTAAGACCCATACAGAACAAGAGTATATACCCAATTCATACAGTAGTTAAAACCTAAACAGATTTTATTGATTTTTCCAGTACTTTAAATCCATGGCTGTAGAATTTCTTGTTCTTAAGCCATATCATAAATTCTAAATGTACATCATTTCTAAATGGTATCATTTATTTTTGACAGTGTACAAGCTTACTTCAAGTAACAACAAAAGTCATGTATTTTTTTCTTTGAATTTAAAAGAATAACTGATAATATTGTCCTTCAAGCTTCAGATTTAAAAGAACCATTATTATCATAACTCATTAAATTTTGTCCTCTTGAGACCCTTCACACAAGTGGTTTTCAAACTACATCCCACTCAACTCCAGACTCTACTGAATTAGTTAATGAATCCACTCTGTAGGGAATAATAGGAACATGGAGCAGTCATGGGTGTTGACTTCCATGTCTAATTTCAAACAGTGTCTTTCCTTTGATTTCCAAAATCCAATTCCAAAACATAACATTGATAACATTTTGAAAGTTACTGTTCTATAAATTAATTGTTGCTATTATATAATTATTTTACATTGATTGATTATTTTCATGTTAAATTTAATAATCGAAGAATTGTCATTGTTTACACTTTTATGCCAATGAATTTAAAGAGATATGTAAAAGTATCTCTTAACTTTTCTTATGATAGTATCTAATGACATCAGAAAGTTGAATACTTAAAAGCAACTGATTCTATTTTATTTCACAAAAATATCCTCTCAGTAGCATTTCACCAGTGTGTCCAGAAGGATGTGACTTTCCACTTGGTAACCAGGTACTTTAAAATGAGGTAGACCAATATTCCTTACTGTTGAAAACTCAAATGAGTAAGGTATCTGTGTTCTTGGTACCCCAAACTACATATTATTGATGTATTTTTCAATTCTTACTTTTATATTAATTAGAGTTTATTCACTTTGAATCGCAGCTGTAGCCCCCTACCTCATTCCCTCCCAACCCCACCCTCCCTCCCTAGAGACGGCTCAGCTGTTAAAGGCCAGGCTCACAACCATAAACATATTATTGATATTTATAAATATTATTTAACTGTACAGGGCAACAATTTAAAACCCTTTCCTCCCATCTATCTTCATAATTGAAAAGAATTATTTTGTAGCTTAAAACATTGTTTTCTCCTATTAACTCATTTTTCACTTTAATAACATATTATTTTTGATTTAAGCCTTACTCAAAATTTTGTGCGTGGGCTAAAAGTATATGAATCATCATAGACCATAACATGAATTCCTTTAAAAAATTTTTAAGACCATAATATAATTTTATCATTTCCCCTTCCCTTTCTTCTACCTTTTTCCCCCCACCCCTCCAAATTCTCTCTTGTAGCTTGCCTCTGATGCCTTGTTGATGTCTTTCAAATCCATGTTTTTTTTTCCTTAATTATTGGCACGTGAGTGCATGTGTGTGTGTGTGTTCGTGCGTTTATTTCATTCATATATTTTTCATATATAGTGTATGAATCATGCTTTATATATTGTGTATATATATTTAGCCACATATATGTGCATATATACACCTAAATTCATAAAGTAATTTAATATACTCAGCTCATATAATGCTTGTTTGTAGATGTTTTCCACTTGGTACTGGATGTTGAATTGGTGTGTTCTTCATTGGGGAAAAATATTTATTCCTCTCTCATCAGTGCTTAGTCAATTGTAATTTTTAGTCTAGGGTTTAGGCCTTTTTAGTCTACCCCTTCCATATTATCTTGTCTATTGGTTTCTTTTTTCTTTTCTTTCTTTTTTTTTTTTTTTTTTTCAGGTACTGGTTAGGGAGCTATTCTGTTTCTTTTTTAATTTTTATTTTTAATATTTATTACAGTTTATTTACTTTATATTTCAGTTGTAGCCCCCTCCCTCATTCCCTCCGAATCCCACCCTCCCTCCTTCTTCTCCTCTCTAAGTCCACTGATAGGGGAGGACCTCCTCCTCTTCCATCTGACTCTAGTTTATCAGGCTTCATCAGGACTGGCTGCAAAGTCCTTCTCTGTAGCCTGGGTGGGGAGGTGGTCAAAGAGCCAGCCAACCACTAGTGAGTTCACGGAGAGACAGTCCCTGTTTCCCTTACTAGGGAACCCACTTGGATGCTGAGCTGCCATGGGATGTTTCTTTTTGAAAGCTAAGTTCTCGACCCAAACACTCCACATTTATATTAATATTCTAATTTTTGAAATCTTACCCCATTGCTTATCAGCACTGATTCTAGGAGCCTCTGTCATTTTTCTCCCGCATTGCGAGATTCTACTAACATCTTACAAGCCAGTCCTGAAGTCCTACGAGCTGCATATTTTGTCACGGGTACAACCCACTAGTCTGGCTGCCCATTTGAAGCTAAAGGAAGACAGGTTTCTTTTGGCCCCAGTTTCAGAACATGCAGCCTTATAGGCAGGAAGGGATGACACCTTCATTCATTTTCTGGGGTGTGTGTTTGTGTGTGTGTGTGTGTGTGTGTGTGTGTGTGTGTGTGTGTGTGCCTCTGTGTTTACCCATGTTTGTTTACATTCCTGCAGGTTCAGAAGAAGAGAAATAAGAAGGAAGGAAGTACAGGTATGATCCTCAAAGTCTTGCCACTAGTGACCTACCTTGACACTGAAGCCTCTCCTCCTAAAAATTCCACTACCTTTAAAACCAAGATTTGAGCCAAATATGACTGTTTGTTTATGTGTGTGTATGAGTATATGGTGAGTGTGTATGCATGTATGCCTGTGTCTGTGCATGCGTGTGTGTGTGTGTGTATGAATGTGTTTATGTTTGTATGAATGTGCTGAGCGTGCCTGTCCATCTGTATGTGTGTGCACGTGTGTGTGAGGGAATGTGTGTGTGTGTGTGTGTGTGTGTGTGTGTGTGTGTGTGTTGAGGGGAGCATTTGTAAACCATGACATCTTTTTTAAGTGGAAAAGTTTACCCTTATCCTAACCTTGAAATGAAACCTTAATCCTGTGCTCTTAGTGCTTATCTACTCTACACGCATCTCAGTTACTTTACTCTATCTGACTAAAGGAAGATTGTAGACTTTTCAATCCATTTGGAAGTGTTAGAGCTGAAATAAAAGCATAACTTTCAGACAGTTCCTATCTATGTATGGAAGCTACTTGATGAAAGTTAAGATTTGGGCTGCATGTTATCTTTTAGACTCTTGTTACATCATTGCTTTATTCCTTAAAATGGTTTTTAATAACACTATGACATATTTTCAGCTTCTATGAAATATTCATTGGCAACTTTAGCTAAGGTCTTCTAGAGAAATCCAAGCATGTTATAATCATAGATTAGTTTTTTTCTTTTTCTTTTCTCTTTCTTCCTTCTCTCTCTTCCTTTCTCTCCATCTCTCACTCTCTTCCTTCTCATCTCTCTCTTGACTCAGGTGACAGAAATTAAAAACAAAAAATATAAAACTACTAAGTAATAAGTGGTATTTTCGAAGGTGAGGAATTTGTAACAAGTTTTATGGCATGCCATTGTCCCTTACCTTCTTAACTTTTACTCTGACACGTATGTCTATTTGATATTTGATGTGGTGTAATATAAATGCTACTAAGGATGTTTGAAAATACAAAGGGAATTTTATTATTTTATAAGCTTACTTTAAAATATGCAGTATTTTTATGTTCTATTATCTGTGTATGTGTCTCTCTATATATTATTAATGTATATATAATATAGAGTTATATCCACTGTATGATAGTACTCAACCCACGAGAACTATAAACAATCAAACAATAACTCCAGTATCAGGCATGGAAGACTTCCCCTCATGATGTTATTCAAAAGATTATAGAAGTCTCTTAAAATAAGAATAGATGCTACTGAAATTGTCTTTGATTGCTTCTCAGAACTCGAAAGTAAACTCCTCTTCTTGAAGACAAGATAATTTATACACAGGACTTCAACAAATGGAGCTTGAATTGATTAGAAAGCCTTTTTATGATGACTGGGTCTTATAGTACAGTAATCATCTTTGCAGATTGCCAAGTCAGAAAGAGCATCAATAGTTTTACCACTCTGAAACCTAGGAAGGCCAAGGATGGTGGGATCAACATGATATCCACAAAATTGCTCATGACAATTTTATCTACCTTAGGAATAATCAATACCTATCTAATTCTACTTAGGGACTACTAAATAGGAAGAAAATCATGTTTGTACAGGAAATTTATCCAACTCTCCATGGCTTCAGTAGCCAAAAACCTGACAAGGAACAGTTTGCTACTGTGACATACCTACAGCAGCAAAGTTTCTAATTGTATCTAAACACTTTCTTTTATACCTACATACATGTGTAACTTTCTCTTCTCATTTAAGGTAGCTTCCTTTTGCAACAGATGGAGACAGCAGAAAATACTTGCAACTTGTCATAATGCAGAGAATCAGTGACTATTGTTATGGGTTCAGGAATAGCTGCACACTGACCACTCCAACACCAGACTCAATGGATGAAAGTTTATTGACCGCTAAGTAAAGACTAACCAGTCAGTGACATAATGTGCATTTGGGAGCCAGATTAGGATGCTGGTCACTTCCTAAGGCAGGTTTTGTATATGAAAAACTGTAACCGTGGAAGCAACCAGGTAACCAGGTGAAGAAAGCAGGGGGGGAGGGCACTACCTCATTTTGACTAGTTAAACATAATCAGTTTTCTTTCAAGTGTATTGTGTTCTATCTAGATAGCTAGATAAGCACTGTAAGCTGAGTGGCTGGAATTTAGGGTAGGGGAACTCTTGGGGGCTTTTCAGCTTTCTGGGAGTAAGGAACATAGCAGGATATTGTGGTCTTAACTCTAAAAGTATATCCATTTATCTTTAGCTCAAGCAGAACATGCATTTACCATCTATTGTTTTATTCTAAGCATCAAATATTGAACTTCTGAATTGAATCGTGCTCTCGACCACATAGGACCTGAAAACTTGAACTTAATTACATCTTATAATCAAAATGGAGACTTAGAGAACGTATCCGATATTAAACTGATAAGAACAGATACTACCCTTGATCTTAGCCAAAAGTCCGAGAAGCAATTTATTTTTTTTATTATTATCATTTATTACAATTTATTCAATTTGAATTTGTATCCCAGCTTTGGACCCTCCCTCCTCTCCTCCAACCCCACCCACCCTCCCTTTCTAAAAAAAAAAATGGAGACTTGGAGTCAAATGGCTTCTGATATGCTAAAGGCTACAGCAGGTATTAACAGAGGAGCCATAGTTATGCTAAGAACTAAAGTTGGTCTCAACAGAGGGTCTATAGAGCTTAAGCAGGTTACAGCGTTATGAGTTGCCCAACCCTAGCTGATATCTGATATAGAACCCTGATACCCAAGGCTCAGCAAAAGTGATTAAAATTGGAGCAGAAAGAATGTGTGCTAGATGCCCAAAACATCTGTGGCTAGATAGTGGGCTCCTAGGAATAACGAGAGAGAGAGAGAGAGAGAGAGAGAGAGAGAGAGAGAGAACAACACACGGATAAACTCTCCTCAATATGGTTGGATGAACTCTCAACAAGACTAGCATTATCCAACCGTCCATGGCCTCAGTAGCCAAAAACCTGACAAGGAACGGTTTGCTACTGTGACATGCCTACAGCAGCCCCTTTTCTGTCTTCCCCAACCTGTGTGCTTCTATTTCTGCACAGAGTGAGGGGCAAATATATACACACTTAGTAGAAGTGCGCTTCTGCATGTTTTTGTTTTGTATTTTACCAGAAGGTGCCAATGCAGTTTGGTATTTGAATATCTTAATTAATTTTCTCTTATTAGTCTATAACATAGTGTTTGCCTTCCTGTTTGCATTTGGGTAAATAAAATAACATTCATAGGGGTTCAGCTTGACCACTATCAAAGCCATCACTGAGAAAGCTAAAAGCTTGCAAAAGGGTCACATTAGGTTCTATTACTTTCATGCCCCCACCCCCAAAAAAAAACATTAAAATACTCTAACTACATTGGGAGATAAATTATGTTCACACATAATATTTTTGAGCTATATTCATTCCCATATAGATTTTCCAAGGATATTAGATTGAAATTGAGGAGGCATCTGAACCACAAATTTTGTTGGAATATAGCTTCCTTCGTAATGCATCTAGTATCCCTTCAGCTCACTTAGAAATTTTACCTTATTTTATTCAAGAAACTGTCTGTGCCCCAAAAAATATTTTATTAAAGCCAGCCATTTGAGCCATAACATTGAAAATATTATTTTAAAATATCTATGACTTTAGTTGCCATTCTTTAACTCACAGCCCAATTGCTATACAGAAATAACAAGAAGAACTTGAGGAAAAGTCTACACTATTACAACTCCATTAGAATGAAATTGAAAACTGGCCACCCCCGACATTGTCTACCCATTAAAACCTTTTCCCAGTTTGATTTGCTGCATAGGCCTCTACTCATAAAGCACCAATCCATAAATGCTATGTGTTCCATCCTGCCTATTTCCAGAAGCAAGATTGCCAAGGAACATCAGTGCTTCATCAGTACACTGAAAGTATTGGGTGAGGACAGAACATAGAAAAAGCAAATAGGGCACCTGACAATATGTCAAGTGAGTTACCTGTTATATGCTGATAGAAACTGAATTCTCAGAGACAAAATGTAATTTCTAAATGCCACCTAGATTTCCATCTGACACATTTATGCCACCTGCTTCTGATGAAAATTGAAAGATAGCTTGTAAGACTGGTCAAAAATTATCAAGTCATCCAAATCCACTGCCTTGCATCTTCTGAAGTCTTAAAAATAACAATTCTTCACATATCGTTTGCTTCCCTGCTGCTTTCTCTCCCCTTAACCCTGTGCTGCCTTCACTCTCACATCTACATAATAATTACTTGAGTTCAGCTACAAAACTCATAAAGTTTAAATAACTTCCCAAAGGTGCCTACCATTATTTTCATTCCACCTTCACATATATGTGTACATATAATTAATTTTTTATTAATTACAATTTATTCATTTTGTATCCCAGTGTAGCCCTCTCCCTCTTCCCCTCACAATCCCACCCTCCAAAACCCCATGCCCAGATGTAGTGCCATTTATATTTTTAAGATTTTTTAAAAATGTTGGTCTCAAGGAGTAGAAGAATGATTCTCCATGATCCATTTTGTCTTCAGCGTCTTTTGTTTTCCTGATGCACAACACGAATTATATTGGCTGATTAGAAACCGATAGGTCTTATGGATCTGATGAATTTTCTGGGAACAGTATCATGACAGAGGCATCTGTAGTTTATAAACAAATAAACAAACACCCAAATATAATACCACTGTCTCCAGGAGAAAGTCCACTTGGAAATTGAGCTATCTCTTCTTCAATCTTTGAATTAAAGACAGACATGGAGTTTTAATTTCCATTTTAAGCAATGTACTTAACAACCATTCTTTAAATTGCTTTTTAAGCTTTATATTTTAACTTTCTTTTCCTTTTTTTCCCTCTTTTTCAGAATTTTAGCAGAGTGCCTACGAAGAGAAGAGATTTTGAAATATATTTCCTCCACCATCGTATGCCTTATGCTAACTTGGCTTCTCTCTGTGTCTTCTCACAAGACACAGAATCAAGTGATTCCTGGCCAAGAAAGAACAGTGAAATTGTCCTATTCCTCAATGGATTTGGATGAAAACTGGTAATGAAATCAGGTCCCACTCTAAGAGAAGACCCTGGAGGAAAACAAGGCTGGTTCTGTGAGGATCCACACAGCAGCAAGACTGAAGGTTTACACTGAGTCCATCGACCAGTCCTACCAGACGGAGTTTTACCCTTTTAACCTGGAGACTTGGTCTTGTCTAAATTGGGGATGGAGCTGTCCAGTAGTGATATGTAGAACCTTTCAAAAATAAAAAAGGAAATGTATTAACAGCAATTTGTCATGATTACCTGGAAAATTTTGAAGGACAAACTTCATGAACGATTTAGTATGAAAAGTAAAAAATAATATGACAGGACTCGACAATAAAAGGACCAGAATAACTAGAATGCAAACTTATAGTGGTCAGTTTATGACTTACAATCGTAAGCATTTATGTTTGTACTCATAAAACATGTAACAATTATAGACTATAAAATGACTCATTCAACTGATGCTATAAAATCATATGTAAATTGCTAAGCTTTTAAAGTTTTTTCTATCTACTTCTAATTTCCTAAGTAGTTCTGAAGCACCTAATCACAATATAATCACACACACACCACACACACACACACACACACACACACACACACACACACACATTCATCAAGATCTGGTGAAAATTAATTTGCTGCTTTGCCAAATGTCTATGAAAGCAACTTTATTTCCTCTTTTTGTTACATTTTAGAAACTGATTAAATTGAATAGTTCTCAAGGACTAGCATTTTGTATATAATTAATGAGTGTTTTTGACCATTTTTTACCTCCAGGTAAATTCCTGCTGTAATACTTAGGGATTCTTATATCTTATGTTTAGGGCAAAAATCTATTAAGATTAATCAAATCCTAGAAATTGTTTCAGTATGTTAATTTTCCTGAGACAGTTAATTTTTATTCACTTTCTTTATTTTTCAATTTTTTATTATTATCATGTATAATTTATTCAATTTGAATCCCTGCTATGGCTCCCTCCCTCATTTTCTTCTAATCCCACTCTCCTTCCCTCTTCTCTCCCTATGCTCTTCCCCTAGTCTACTGATAGAGGAGGTCCTCCTGCCTTTCTATTTGACCCTAGCCTATCAGGTCTCATCAGGACTGGCTGCATTGTCTTCCTCTGTGCCCTGGCAAGGTTGCTCCCTGGATCAGAGAGCCTCTCACTGAGTGTCAGTGAGAGAGTTCAGAGAAAGCTCCTGCTCCCCTTATTAGGGACTCCACTGGATACAAGAAAAATCATGAAATTTTCAGGCAAATAGTGGGAACTAGAAAAGATCATCTTGAGTGAGGTAACCCAGAAGCAGAAAAACACACATGGTATATACTCACTCATAAGTGGATATTAGCTATATAATATAGGATAAACATACTAAAATCTATACTCCTAAAGAAGCTAAACAACAAGGAAGACCCTAGAGAAGATGCTCAATCTCAGAAAGACAAACACGACAGACATTGGAAGCAGGAGAATACAGGACAGGAGTCTACCACAGGGGGTCTCTGAAAGACTATACTGATTGAAGTACCCAAGCAGAGTCTGAGACTTACAGCCAAACTTTGGGCAGAGGGCAGGGAATCTTATGAAAGAAGGGGGAGATAGAAAGACCTGGAAGGGACAGGAGTTCCAAAAGGAGACCAACAGTGCCAAAACAAAACAAAACAAAACAAAACAAAACAAAACAAAACAAAACAAACAAAAGAAAAAACTTGGGCCCTGGGGGCCCTGCAGGGACTAATACCCAACCAAGAACAATGCATGGAGAGGAAATAAAACCCAGGCTCAGATGTATAGCCCATAGACATTTTTATTTATTACAATTTATGCTATTTGTATCCCAACCATAGCCCCCTCCCTCATCTCCTCCCAGTCTCCCCTCTATCCATCCTCTACCCCTATGTCCCTCCCCTAGTTCACTGATAGAGGAGGACCTCCTCCACTTCTATCTGACCCTATCCTATCAAATCTCATCAGGAATCACTGCATTGTATTCCTCTGTGGCTTGGTAAGGCATTTCTTGTCACTTTCAAACTATGTTTTATTTAAGTAAACATCCAGGAATTAAGATAAAACTATTGCTACATGTTCATAAAATTCAAAGTGTCACATATGTAGAAATAAATAAAATACAAATACAGTGAAATCAATAAATTAATGGAGATGTATTCACATACTATGTTAGAAAATGTTTTTTTTTCATAATCTCAGAAATGAACAGCATGTTTTACAGTGCTGACACAAACGTTAGTTTAAATCGAAGAGTGTAGACAATTGGTTCATGTGTTGGCAACATCAGTGCTCCACAAAGATACAGTGTTTTACAGAAGTTCTGTCTGCCCTCTGTGGCACACACTTGTGCTAAAATTTCAACCTAAAAGCAAGTGTTTCTCAGATATAGTGAG